GGACTGCCGGCCATTTAGTGTTTTGAGACTCCCTTGACCGGTTAGCGGCCATATAGCCACAGCGATAAACTTCCATAAAGTATATGTGCCCCGACATCTTTTCGAAAGAGGCGCCCTGTGGTTCGATTCTTGTGAGCGACCACCCCCTGTAAACGACCGCTAAGTCTTTGCATTTTGGGTGGTTGTTCACGGGAGGTTCGACTGTATTTCCACTTCTAATATATAACAATTATTCACCGAAGTGGAGGTGGCTAGTATTGGGTATTTTGCGGGGCCGCGAAGCGGCGAAGTAAATATCCAATACTAGCCACCGACACTGAGGTGAATAATTGTTTTAGTATATACTAAAACAGTGACATTGAGGTGAATAATTGTTTTAGTATATACTAAACCAGTGACACTGAGGTGAATAATTGTTCTAGTATATGCTAAGACAGTGAGATAATTGAGCACAAAATGATGATTTTAAACTCATTTACTGTTGCCAACGATTACAATTTTGGCGCGCGATGACCGAACGGCTGCGGTCGTCGCTTTTTCTTAGCGACAAATAAAACTTTTGAAGGCGTTTGTTTAGCCCTTGCGGGGAAGTTTCTTCAAAAGGAGTTGTGAATTCCGTTTGTATTTAAAATAATTCTGTAAAAAAGATTATTAAATTTAGTTTTAAGCTTATTTATGAACAAGTCAACTAAATAAAGTAAGGCAAGACTTAAGCTTAATTTGCATTTGCAAACAAAAAACTTTTTCACAGTTTTTATCTATAACTATTCAAGTCAAAAAGACAAAGCTTTACCTGTTAAAACTTCCAAACCGAACTTCGTCACCTTCTTCATGTATTTCGGAAATAGCTTGCTTGATTAGTTGTGAAATTTCTTAGTTTGTTATGGCAGCAAACCGGGAAAGCATTTCGCTCGCAACCTACGCGAGTTTGGCGTTTCTCGCTCAGAGGAACTGGAGGTGAATCAGTGAATAGTGCAGGATATTCACTGATTGAGTAGTCAATCAGAGCGCCCGAAAAACACTATCCACTGTTTTAGTATATAGTAAATAGATTTAGCCAGGGCTAAAAGCGAGGATCCTGCGGTGTAGTCATGAGACAAGGGGATACCCACAGATTCATATTGCTTTCTACATAATGTCCTTTATTAACTGAACCACTATCTTTATAGTACAAATCATAATCTACTTTCACTTAGTATCAGTACTTTTACATTCGTGCTGTATTACTTTAATATCACTTAGTACATGTAGTTTCACTGATGTTGGTAATACTACACTGATCGTTACTATGGTAATCAATACACTACATCCTTCCCGGACGGGTTCTAAGAATATTCGAAAGATACATTCAACGAGTCACAAGATCATATAAAATCAGCAAAATTTAATGTCAATAATATACAAAATTTTCACTGTCCTTAGTTGACTTTACAACTCGTCATGACCTAGTGGTGATGACCTGTTCATTCTGAGAGGCTTGCTCGTCAACATGACCAGAGGGTTTAGCGTCGTCACAAGCGTCAGAAACCTTAGCACTAGGGTCACTAGAATTGTTGGACTCCTTATAGTTGGTAGAAATTTCTACTTCGCCATCATCATCTATGCTCTCACTAGGCGCATGCTTTAAGTACTTTGCATTGCGAACCAAGGTGGTACCCGTGTCCACGTTGACTAGACTGAACGTGTCCCGCGCTTTGGTCTCAATGATAACGTGCTTAGCTAAAGAGAATTTCGAGTCCAATTTGTTGGGCTTCATATTAGCACAAAACACGATATCGCCAACGCTAAAATTATGCGGGGACGTATGTTGCTTGGTGTCATGATAGTCTTTCAATTCCGCTTGATACAAGCTACATTTTGATCGATGGTCACGATCAAGTGCCTATCCTGCGGTATTTGAGTTAGACTCAATGAGCGGTACCTTCGCACCAGGCGATTTGCCACTAATTTGATGTGGACTTGCGCGATAAGTCATAAGAATTTTCGGTAGTTCACCGCTGGAAAATTTTTCTTTAAGTATCGGCGAAATCTCTCCAACTTTCCGTTACTTCGCGCATAGTACGGAGAAACACGAATTTGCCTTATTCCACACGATTTGAGAAACGCTTCGAATTCGTCGCTGATGAACTGTTTTCCATTGTCTGAAACGAGTTCCTCTGGAAACCCAAATCTAGCGAAAATATCAGTTAGGGCCTTAATGACTTCGCGTGAAGGGATTTCTTTTAACATGTACGCTTCCGGATAAGACGAATAATAATCAATGTAGGTCAATATGAACTTTCCGTTGACTGGACCAACGAGATCCACTACGCCTTTTACCCAAGGACCACGAGGTAGAGGCGTTGGCTGAAGCGGCGTGTATTTATTCAAAGATTGATTCACCACGCATGCTTGACAATTTCTGATCATTTTCTCTGTTGCATCGTCCATACCAGGCCAAAACAAAACGAGTTCTAAGAAATTGTTTGGTCTTTACAATTCCCTGATGCGTCTCGTGCGCTAGTGATAGAATTTGTTTTCGTAGAGACGTTGGAACAACAATTCGATTCCTTCTAAGAATTGCTCCTTCAAGAATAGACAATTCGTCCTTTATGCGGCTACACGGTTCAAGATCAGTTTCGCGTGACCATTTTCCGTTTTGAATTTGGGCAAGTAATTTGGAAAGCGTGACGTCTTTGCTAGTTTCGCATCTCGTGTCAGAAAGAGTGACCGCTTGAAGATCTGACATGTTTGACATGCATGTAAACAAATCGTACATTATTTTCGCAAACGAAACCGGTATCTGAACAATCATTTTGCTTGGATGGCAATCGCGACATCGAATCTGCTGTGGTGGCGTTCCCCGGGGGGGGGGTACTCCCATACATTACCTATACGGGTATGTACCGCCCAACGGGGCCGTGATTTTGAAGCTCCTGATTTAGAACGGGGTATCCATTTCAGAGGCGTTTTCTAGAACGGGGTATAAAAATTGCGGATCACGGCTTTATCTTCTGCTTAAAATTGTTGCTGATTATGAAGAAGCATTTATTTGATGTATAAGTCGAACAAATAAAGATATATCTTTTTAGAAAAACAGGCTATTTCAATTTACAAACTTTCTAGAACGGAGTATAAAAAATTGGCCCATTTATAGAACGGGGTATCAGTTTTAGGGCGGGGGGTTCTAGAACGGGGTATAAAAATTGGCCCATTTCTAGAACGGCGTATCAATTTTAGGGGAATTTGTTTTTACAACGAGGTGCCAATTTGGAGTCCCGGGCTCCCGCGACTCCAAATTGGCATCCCGTTCTAAAAAAAAATTCCCCTAAAAGTGATACCCCGTTCTAGGGTGGAACAAGAGTACAACAGTTTGCTTGTTAACGCCTTGAACCGTATTTTTGAAAGCAATCTGTCCTTGATTAATTTAGAATGGCTGCTTACAAAACTGGATCTTTCGTGAGTTCGAAATATTATACCCCGTTCTAGAAAACGCCTCTGAAATGGATACCCCGTTCTAAATCAGGAGCTTCGAAATCACGACCCCGTTGGGCGGCACATACCCGTATAGGTAATGTATGGGAGTACCCCCAGGTCTCTTACCTTACGAAGGAACCACCATCATTCCTAACCTTTCAAGTTAAAGAGGCGAGACAATTTTCGCGATTCTTTTTTGTTTTGTTTTGCGTACAAAATCTTTGCTGTAACGATTTGACATATCATTCCTTAAACTAAAAGGACGTTTCAGTCACGAATGTTGACATCTTTGAGAAAAAGCTGTTCAGTCTCCAGTTTTTCTATAGCTTGCTTCAGGTTTAAAGCATTCGCGGGGAAGGGCAATAGGACTGGTATGTACGCGGAGACTTTCGTCTCATGAATTTTACAACTTTTTGCTATCTAATTTTTATTTTTTTTACTTTGTTTGGAAGACTTTTTTTTACCCACGACATTTACCCACACCCACACCCACCACTCACGGCCTCTACCCACTACCCACGACCCACAACATTTAGCTACACTCGCAGACGAACCTTAGCCGCACACGCGCGAACTCAGTTCGCAGGTCTTAAAGTTTGTAGGTTTCGTTGGCGCGCTCTCAACCTCCCAACCTGCTACGTGTTATTTTTAGTTCCACTGGGACATTTTTTAGGGTGCACTTCGCTGGTTATGTTTCGTGTCTGTATCCTAACAGGATGAATCTTTTTGTAGAAGCAAAAACGTTCATTGACTTCATTTCATGTTCCGTTAACATTAAGGCTGAGGAATTCAGGCGAAATATTTAAGAACAAGTTCATTATGTTTCCAGTCGATAACTTCTGTAAACTCCTCTCAGTCTTTTCTGGTTATTGCATATCTAGTAGAACGAGAACTAGATGATATATAACAAAATTGGACAATCCTCAATTGAAACTGCTTAACGAGTTGCAGCCTCTCCCTCAGCTCTAGATTTCTGCTCATTTCTGACAGTCCTTGTGAAAATAGGGCCAAGTGGCCCTATGATTGAAAAAGTCGTAAAAACACTGCGCTACTTCCGCCGATCGCCCCTACATTTGGCCCACAGGAAGTATATAGGTTAAGCCAATTACAGGGCTAGTTTTAGATCCCAACCGTTGATATGCTTCACGCAATGATGTTTTTAAATTTGAGAAAATGGAGGGCGACCTAGTAAATAATTCGTGGCGGCTTTGGTCATTAAGAAATGCTTTTGGCGACGAATTTCGACCAAATCTGTCCTTCAAAATGAATTTCAAAGCTTTTTGGATCATGGTAAATAAATGTAAAAGTCGAGGTAATATAAGAAAAGGTTTATAACAATAGCGTCTCTTCGCTATGAGTTCAATCTGCTATCCATGTTTATCAAATTCAATGAAATATTGCTTCTTAGTTTGGCTTTATACCGTCAAAGCCTTGCTTGTTTTCTTAAATTAAGTGCTTGAATTCATATTTGTGTGTTTTAGCTTGATTTATAGATGAGAACATAATGATAACAGACATTTTCTGCAAAAAATGACATAAAATTCTGCATCGTTCAATTATTTTTAGCCGATTGTTGATTGTTGCTAGATAACAAGAGAAGAAAGTGTTCTTTTAATCCTTAAGCTCAATCCAAGTATTAATATCACAAAATCTCTTTTTATATTTGAATTTTGAGAAAATGTATCTTGTAAATTTTTTCAGTGAAGTATTATGGGCTTCCAGAGAGCAATTTGTTTTTTGGAAAGTTTATTGTATGCTCTTTCAAATGAGGTATAGCTTTTTAAGCTGGGGTAAATAACAGTGGAGATATAATTTTCGTAAAATGTATGGTCAAATTTGCTGATTGCTCGCCTGTCAGAAAGCTGCTATTCTCTATCCATCTTCTTCTGTTCAAAGGTTATTACATGTACATAGAAGCATCCAGTCCACATCAGCCAGGTGATGATGCAAAATTGTACAGTCCTGCACTGAAGTTCTTTGGGATTATGTGCCTTGAATTCTATTACTATATGTCTGGTGCATCTATTGGAAGCCTGAACGTTACCGTAAATAAAACACTAGTGTTCTCTGCGAGTGGTCATAAAGGAGACGTATGGAATAAAGCCAGTATAAATATATCCTCAATTGTGGGATTGCATTGGGTAAGCATTAATGAGACAATCACTGAATAACGACCATGAAAACGGGTTTCTCTGAAAGAGGTAACTTTTAAAGGAAAAAAGGGTTAGTTTGTGGAGAGGCACAAGACACAGGAATATTTGTTCCGGAAGGGGGCTACTCTAAGATTTACACGGCGAGGCGGATTATTTGTCCACTTTGAAAATATATTTTGGTCCTCGCGTCTAAATTCTTCAAATCTTTACTTATGTTATAATTATGAGTCTTATCTGTATTTGACAGCAAAATAAGTGAAAAAAGGTCAAAGTGTAGACTTGGTTACTTTAGAAGGCAGATGCTAATTTGGGAAGGAATTAAATTAGGGTTAAGAAAGGTAATATACACCTGATAAACCCGTTAGTCAGCTAATAGGCTTAGAAACCATTAATCTCGTACCCAGATTTATTGTTATAAAGGAAGCCGGAGGCGAGATCTAGTCAAATCCGAATTGTACACATGATTGCCTGTCAGGATTGCGTGACAGGCAATGCTCGAAATCCTCAAAATCGCCCATTTTTGACGTGTTTAACAACGAATTTGATAAAGCGTTAAGTTTTTTTTAAAATTTGTAACCACCCCTAAATCCAATCTTTTTTAAATTTGCCAATTGTTTTAAAATTTATACCCTAGCCTTTCCTATTTGTTATACATTTAAAACATTTGAAAAATATTCTAAAAAGTTTCAAAAAATTATGGGACCAAGGCCGCAAAACTGAGTCATTTTACGCTTGAACAAAATCTTGGCTGATATTTAAGAAAAAGAGGCCATAAATTAAACACATAATATAAAATGTCACTTATGTGTCATAATTGTTCTTTTCAAGGAGGATATGCATTGCTATAAGAGATTTCCTTGGGACTTTCTTCAAAAATTGCTATTTTACGTCTATTTATATAAAGTACTCCGTCTAACTGTATGGCTCAACTTTTCATTATTTGAAAAACTAATGAGTCTCGTAAAGTCAATAGAGATATAACTAAAATTCATACTTGGCTGAGAGGCTTAGGGGCATAAATCAGCGGAAATCGTCTTGAGCCGCCAGCAATGAATAATACGTTTCTTTTGTTTCAATCCTCCAAACCAGGTATGAATTTTAATAGAGAGAACAGACTTCAGAGAAGATCTAAAAATATCTTAAGAGGAATTACGATGGGTATAGGGCCTATATGAGGGATTAATTCTGTTAGCCCCTTTATCCTCTCTTGTTTTAAAATATCAAAAATTGTCTTTTATAAAAGCCTTTCTTTTGGTTTTATTACCTATAATATCATGTTTTTGACAGGTAATATTTGAAGGCGTAGTGGGCAGCAGTTACACTGGTGACATAGCAATTGACGACTTCTCTTTGAAAGCAGGGTCATGTTTTTATGGTGAGTACTGAATAATTGCACTTAAGTCACCTATTTTAAGCACAGGCAGACCACCCTCTGTTCGTGTGGCAGTTGTTGTTAATGAGCATCGATATTTTGTATACTTAATTAATACAGATTCAATTAAAGCTAAATGTTTACATAATAATTCAAGCATTGGAAGGTGAAAAACAAAAAAAAAACATAACAACGAAATGACCAAGTTAACATTTCGCTTGAATTTTTATTGAAACATCTAGGTTTAAATTTGTATTTTAGCCGCTGCAACAGGAGCAGATTACTGCTGCAACGTATATCTGTATTTCTCATTGCTCATCGGACAGTGAAAAAAGGTTTTTCTGTAGGCTGGTTAACAACTTCTTGTAAAAAATATTTAAGGCAAAAGTCAAACTTAAAACTTTTGCTTTTGGGGGAAACTTTTAAGCAATTTTATTTATCTAAGGGCAACTTTTGAGCAAGATTTTGTGATATTTTGAATATATTTTTTTAACTGAATTTGAAGCATCTTTAGGAGGGTTTGAATGGGGTTTAGTGTTTAGTGTTATTTGCTCATAATTTTTAGTATTTTGCTGTTAAATTGGCCAATTTTTTAATGTTTGCTGTTTCAGAAGGAAAAACTGTTAAATGTTCGGAGGGTTCTTCAGACATCTTCGGCAACTGGGTCGAACCTCCTCGATTCCGGTTAGTCTTCGAAAATCTTCGGCAGTCTTCGGGAATCGTCGGTGGCCTTCAGAAATCTTCTGAAATAATCCGGATTTGTCGTAAAATGGCCGAAAACTTGTTGATATACTAAACAAAACAATATTGGCCTTTTTGGAGCCGTTTTTTGCGTCTTCTTCCTGGAAAAAATTTAATGTTTCAAAGAATTTTTTACCGTTAGTGTTAAAATGCCTAAAATTTAACTGTTTCATGTTACAAAGCCAAAACAGTGAAGTGTTTAGCGTTATCGAGGTACCCCCATTCAGACCCTCTCTTAGGGACAGCCTTAACAACTGCCAAACTCGCAGAGGGTTGACTGTCTGTGTTTTGACCAAAAAAAAAAGATTTCGTCGCAACAATAGAATGTGAAAAGATTCGGCAAAAACCTCGCTATACAGTTAATGAAATGTTGCTAACCAAGAATAGTTTGCGGGCTCCTTTTGTCGCCCGCAATAATTCATTGCTAAGGCTCCACTGGCGGCCCACACTCTGTGGGGGTAAAAAAACAAAACAAAAACACAAGGTAAGTCATTTTTATTTCTATTTTTGTCAAAAAATGGAATTGCTGGTTTTCATTGTCGCGTTATTCAAAATAGATCAAAATCAAAATCAAAACCGTTCCATAAAGTCAAGAATCTGGGAAATGAAAGGAGTTACATATACAAAGACCCTAGCCAAGATTCAGGTCAGAGGAATATTTCGTATACGAGATATCCGAAGAAATGTTTTACCCAAACTTTTGATTTTGAGATTTGTATGGAGACGCCATGCTGGTGCAGTGCTCTCTTGGATGAGCTCCAACATGGCGGACGGAAACCAACAGAAACATCTGTTACCGTGTTTGGCTACAAAAGCGTGAATTTATTCTTCCAAAAAGTCAGAAACATTAAAGTTATACTTTTTCTAATACATGAACTGTTTAGATAGCAAAATTTCCTGAAATAACTCATTTTTTTAACCTACATGACTGCTCTCTTGACCGTCATGTAAATCCTGCGTCACGCAAAAGCTTAGAAATTCAAGCGTACTCTATCACAAAACCAAGAACCCTTTTGAAGCGAAAATTTGTATGAAAATTAGTTTTCAGCTGCTCTAATGCATCGCGAAAGTAAAATCTCGGTAGGATCGATAGTTTTTTAGTTTGAATTTTAGTGACGTCAAGTTAAAACCACAATATATAATTAGGACGTATTTTGTTCGTTTTCATACATTCTCTTATATATGTAAAGTCCAACGAACTCCCACACTGTTTGTGCCGCCTGTGAAGCCCCAAGGTGATTTCTTTTGTTTTGTTCTCTTAAGCCGGCTCTCAGCCAAGTATGAATTTTAATATATCGAAAATGCCCCTGGGATGGGGGGGGGGGGGGGGGTGGGGGGTTACTCCCTTATATGGCCTATACGGAGATATGCCGCTGGACAGGGTATGGTTTTCGTCCTGTCTGTCCTAAACATGGTATACAATTATTTAAATTTCGCGCAAGTCTGTCCTAAACTGGTGTGCATGATTTGTGCGAGTCTGTTCCAATTATTAACAGGGTGTTTCATGCACGATCGATTTTCTTCTTAGTGCAAACGTTTGCAGATATCTAGTATGTCATCACCCAAAGCATTTACTGGAATAAATATATAATGGTATTGAGGGAGTTGTCCTAAACAGGGTTCTAAACTTGAGAGTGTTGTCCTAAACAGGGTATGTATTTTAGGAATGTTTTGTCCTAAACAGGGTCAGGATTTCAAACCCTCAGCGGCTCAACTGTAACCAAATACTGGTCGAGTACCCCCCTCCCTAGGGGAAATACATGGTCTATTTACTTCAGACTCGTTAGTCTTCCAAAACTAATGAAAAATTAACTTTACGGTGAGAAGAAGTAATTTTATAAAATTAATTTAAAAAATCTCACTTAAAATAACAATTTAAAAGAAAGCCCCTAGGAAACCTCTTCAGGCTGTACCTCTTAAACATGTTTAGGCTACGTGCAAACGGACGCAACCGACCTCCCAACATTGCACGTACTTTAATCATGTTAAAGACTGAGTACAGTCAGTACAGTCGACTTCCGATAACTCGAACCTTGAAGGCAAGTCGAGATAAGTTCAAGTTATCGGAATTCGAGTAATCAGGAGCTCGAAGCAAATAACAGAAAACAAGGTAATGAGATGACGAAGGAATCATGCTCAATTCACTTCAAGAGCACATGGAAAGACCTGAAAGACTCGGAGATTATCGGCAGGGTTTTTTTGCAGGTCACAGGCCACAGGTCACCTCCATCTGTGGAAGCTCAATTGGAGAACAGAGTGGTCTAGTTTGTAAACAATCCTTTCGATCGTACCTTTCACACCAATTCAAAAACTCATTAATAATTCATTAAGGAAAAAAACCCAAGAAATTAATGTCTTTATATCTGATAAAGACACAGCTAAACTTTACATCTATTTTTTAGCACCAAATTTAAATATTAGTGAAAGAATAAGTCGATCTATATCAGAGATTTTTCAAGTTTAGAATGTGTTTTTTTAATGCCGCAAAGCAAAATACTGTCAAACTGTCTTTTGTAATATCTTTGCTGGCCACAAGAAATTCGTAATAGAGAACATTTAAGTGCCATTTCACTCATCATAGAATAGATAAACGTAAAGTACACTTGAATTTAGCTAAAACAATCGATTGCAAACATTGTGTACATTCTGTTTAATTCTGTACGATGAGAGACTGTAGATCGATTCAACTAACTGATAGCTAACTATAAGAAAGCGAGCAGGTGTTTCACGCGGGTTTTCCTCTATGTAAAAATCAACCTCGTCCCCAGGGCGCTTTTCCCTGGCTTTGGAGGTGGTGCACCCCGCCTCCAAAGCCAGGGAAAAGAACCCTGGGGACGAGGTTGCGTAAAAATCTTTCAAGTGTCTCTTAATTTCAAGTGAGGTTAGGGGAGTGGGGCGAATACTAGTACTCCCTTTTCCTTTTTTTTGGGAGGAAGATGAACTGTAAATGCGAGGTTTCTATGTTAGGTTTCCTGTGCACTAGGCTTCAGTCCGTGCGAGGTTTTGACACTTCGAGATTAGGTCAAACCTCGACACACATGTGCTTTTCATCGCTTCGTTTTTTTCGTCTTTTTTCGGATGAGGATTGTTTAACTGGACTCACGTATCAAAGGAGTCGAACATTACGGAGTCATTACGGATATTACAGTAAAAGGTTATGGACACGGACACTGGCTTGTTTGTAAGGATTTCTATATGCGGTATTGTATTCAAACAGTGACTGTGTTGAGCGTAGTTGATCGGATCGAATAAAATGTGGAATCGGCACTGAATTGACGGCTGAATATAAAGGACGCAGCCTTAGTGTCCACATCCCGTCTTTTATTTCTGAGTGCAAATAAATACCAATACAGAAGGAACTTGGAAGATTTTCTGCAAGATATTCGTAGAAATGCAACTGCTACTGTATTTTTACAAAAATATACTTCTAAATTTAAATTTCGTCTCGCAACTTTATCTATGACCTGTAACCTGTGACCTGTGACCTCCAAAAGAAACCTGCCGGGAGATTATTGATATTTTGAAAATTCTAAGGGAAAAAATGAACAACAAAGAAGACAAAGCTTGATTAATATACAGGGCTGGAGAAATTATCTAAAGGGAAACAAAAATTGCTTCGAGTATTATTTGATAATAAGCGGGGGGTTCGAGTTCACTGAAGGTAAAATAACAGTAAATCTATGAAGGAAATCAAGGGGAAATGTAATAAGGTCGAGTTAGCGAGAATTCATGATATCGGGAACCACCGTATTTTTTTGTATTTAATTATTATTTTTTATCTATACTTGTATCCAGATTGTTTCATTTATCACTTCGAAACATATCAAGATTTAAGCATAGGAGCTGTTGCAGTGGAATATTTCACCATCAAAGGAAGTCTGTTTCTCGCGTTCGCTAACTTTCTAAACAGTACTTTCATCTACAAGTTCAGCGACTCGACAAGAAAATTCTTCCTTTACGAGACCCTGGATACAAAGAACGTGTGGGACATAGAATATTTCACAATTTCTGACGAACACTACCTTGCTGTAACTAATCTATTTAACACATCAGTTATTTATCGTTGGAATGGACAATTGTTTACTCCATTCGAAAACACTGCAGCGCGTGCATGGGAGTTCAGTTTTTTTACAGTAGACAAAGAACCATATCTTGCCGTATCCAGTCTAATCAGTTCAATCTCTCGATGCATCATCTATAAGTGGAAAAACAACACCTTTGAAAAGTTTCAGGTAATAGAAGGTCCCTGTTCTATAGATGCGTTTATAATTGACAATGAAACCTACTTTGCCCAGGCTGGTGGCTTATTCGTACAAAGACAGTCAGTCGTCTATAAGTGGTCAGGAGAAAGCTTCTCTAAACTGCAAACTCTCCCGCCAGCATCAGAGATAAAATTCTTTAACATTAATGAACAAGTGTTTCTCGCCCTTGGCTCTCAACGTGCAAATCCGAACTCGTATATTTACAAGTGGGAAGGCAGTCAGTTTATTTTGTTTCAGTCCATTAGTACTAATAGTTCCTGGGTTCTTTGCGTGCATTCATTTGTTATGTGTGGTCAAATGTTTTTGGGTTTCACTGATATGGATAACGATAAGTCCACGTTGTATCGGTTCTCTCTGGACAAGTTCACTAAATATCAAGAGATTTCGACCTTTGGACCTGCTGATATGAGGTCATTTGAATACAAGGGTTATACTTACCTGGCTATTGCTAATACCAGAAACTCAGCCCAAAGAAGTACTAAAAGCACTCTGTATAAGTGGACTACGGGAATGTAATTACCCTCTAACGACGCATGTCGCCATAAATATGTTAGATTACTGTACATACGCGGAACTTTAACCCAGAGAAAAGTGAAGTCGCTTTAAAGTAAAGAGAAAAGTCAAATAAAATAGTCAGTAGAATGTTGTTGCAGATTTAAGTTTTCTTCTGTTAACATTTGGATTTATGAACATTAATTATACATGTAGTTTGACTCTAAACTAGAGAAATGAAATAAATGTGAACATGAACTGGCTTTCGACTTGGTTCTGCGCTGAGATACAAATATCAGGGATATCAGGTACAGTCGTAGCAAAAAGGGCTGGTGCTCAATGCTTTTGCTTAAGGCTGAACAAGGACTAGCAGTCTCTCCAGCTCACGCATCATATGCAAAGAAACTCCAAATTACTCCGCTCTTTATAGGCCCCGTCCACTCGTATCCGGATGCTTTTGAATCCGCAACGTTTTCTTTCCGAGACGGCCAGTCCGTCCACACACATCCGGTGCTGATCCGCACCGTTTTGAATCCGCTCTCCAGGGTGGAAAGTTTTGAATCCGCTACATGTATCCGTATACGCGTGGACAGTAAATCCGGATATCTTTTTATTCAGTGATGTAACAAAATCGATCTCAGTTTTTTACCCACAGTGAATACTGTATTCACATGGCAACCTCTTCTCATGCTGTGTTACCAATACTCCCAGAGGAGACTAGCCTCTAGTGTTCCAGGCTCCGAGATAGTCGGGTCCGCTGAATTGAGAAAGCTCGAACACGTTTCAACCAATCAGATTAAGGTATTAAGGCGATTGACATTTTTTGAAGACTTTGACCAATCAGGATTTTAACACTTGCCTAGTGAAAAAAGCGAACAGCAATAGTCTCCTGGCAGGCGTTTCTCTCCCTCCTTCCTCGCGCGCCCCTCGCTTTTCTCACGCTCACAAAACCGCTTTAATTTCCTTTCCCTTTCAAACTCATGCTACGAAGGCTTCACCCAGCAAGGCTAAGTGGCTTAATTCTTTCGCTCCATATGCGGAACATCATCATTGCACGGATTCTTTCTAGATAACCAACAACAACCAACCACTTTATTTGCCAACTTAAAAAACGTTTACAAAGAACAGAATAAATTTAAATACATCAGGCAAAAAAACTACTCAGAAAAGCAAAAAACTAAACGAGCTGAGCTCCCCTCGTCTTCCAAACAAAGGCGAAGAAGGACACCTGATCGCAGGTTACTTTCTAGTCGCTGACTTCCTGTGCTCAGTTAAGTCTTCTTGAAGGATGAAGGCCCACTGATTCACTGTCGATTGTAACATTCTATAATTTTATACAGAATGAGAGAGGCTACAATAATTCAGTCGTGATTAATCTAATTAATATTGTGCTCTGTGATTCAAGAAACAGGAAAATGGCGAATAAAAGACTATAATTAGAAACATACTGATGTTAACAAAGCTCGAACTTCCGCTTTATTTATATAATTACTTGTTTATGAATTGTTACTCCAAAGGGAAAAATAATAATCAGGGGCACTCAACGACTGTTTTCTGTAAAATATCTGTTCGGCAAATCAAATGTTGCCAAGAATTTTCTATCACTTGAGGAGGGCCAAAAATTTCTAGATAACCGTTCTATTTATGCACAATTTTCGAAGCTTATTTAATAAATTCCCTACGATTTTCTGTTTAATTTTCACATTTCACTTTCAAAGTTAGGCTATTTTTCGTATAAAAAAAGAAACCTAAAATTTTCGGTTTCAAAAATGTGATGGAGAGAGGAATTAGAAAATGTATCACTTTCGTTATACGTTAAATTGCATCTAAAATTTCCGGGAAAATAATACTCAAGCCCTTATAATTTCGAAAAGTCTCTAGTTCCCCTAGGATGACCGAACAGATACAAATATTATAGCGCCATTTAGAATGTTTTTCTACAGATCTAAAAGTACTCTGCATAGCCTAAAAAGTGTTTTCATTGTATTTATTAGAGGAATCTGTCGTTGGGTGCCCCTGAATAATAATAATAATGTGGTTATATTACATTTGTTAATACACTACCTAGCTAAAGGAAGTTATGGACAGATGACGTAAGTATCCTAAACCAATCAAAGTTCGGCAAAATATATATATATTTTTTTCATTTTAAAAACTGGATAAAAAGTATGATCAAGGGAACTGTAAAGCATTTTGTGGCTTGCGGGGTCAAGTGGTTCATTACTAGGCGCCATGTCTACTGATATGATGCAGTTCGATATGCAAGAGCTCTTACCAGATGCTAAGGATTCGGAAACCAAGAAGAATAGTGTTAAGAATCTTTTGAACAGTAGATTCACTTTCCGATTGTGGCAAATTCTCGTTTTTCTGTTCCTAATGACAATCATTATTACTGTGACTGGTATTCTGGCTGCTAAGTTTGGTCCAGCGAGCCCATGCTACAAAATCTCTGGCAAAGAAACCAGTGGTGTATTGGCAGCAACCAAAGAGGATAGAGGTAACTTAACTTTCCTCCCACTTCGACATTTAGCATTTAGTGCTTCAATGCTGCACTCTTCTACATTATTGAATTTAGTACGTAATCGTGTAAGCAATCACATTCCTAAGACTACGATAGAATTAAATTAATTTATCCAGAGGTCAATCAAACACCTTAGCGTCATCGAATTTCCATCCAAAGAAAGACCCTCAAACTTCGCTACGTACGTGCCACCCACCCTGTCACCCACCGACTATAAGATTTGAATCGTTTGCTCATTTGCATTTGTTTAATCACCAGCGGAATCACCGACCTCTAGGTAGAAGTCAGTTTATTCGCGTGTCTCTTGTCTAACAAACCAAAGTTTCGTTACAGAAGCCCCGGGGGGTACTCCTGGGAATTCTTGGTGGTGGTGTGCCACCCGGTTCTTCAAATCCTGACCCGATTTCAGACCAAAAATGTAATTTTCCGCACCCGTTTTCAGACTTGGCCCTTAGGCAGAAATTACGTTATCATTACTTAAATTAAAGCGCAAACAAAAAATTCTTCAAATCCATTTCGAATTGGCGTATTTCTCGTTCTTTCTTACTCATTTGGAATTAAAACGATAAATACGTTCATGCACTCCCGTACTTCCCTCGAAAACCATACCCGATTCCAGAGCAAAATTGGCAAAGTGTATACTCATTTTCAGACCAAAACGGCGCAAAAACCCTACCCGATGGGGTGGCACATACCTACACAGCTGATATAAGAGAGTACCCCCCATCCCCGCCCCCCGGGCAGAGGCGTATTGGGTCCGACAACATTTTTTCGCTTTTGAACAACCGAAATCGTGACTCGGGAAAAAAGTGAAAAGGAAACAAAACATGTACATGAAGCGGGACAGTCAGGCAGTAAAATAATAGAAACTATAATCGAATAATCAATTCAGGTTCAGATCAGGTCAATCAGTTTGGTTTTGGAAATCACCGACGTCTTGACGCAAGCCAATACAAATGAATACATCTTCCATCATGACATTTACCTTTTTTAAGAGCGGCTATCTGTAAATATCGAGAATTTGCCGTCAAAACTGAAATTTCGAAATATTTCATTTTCAGTCAGGAAAGACCCTTTGGTGAGACATTTTCGAAAATAACAATAAATAACAATCAAAGTTTCGAAAGGATTTTCTTTTTCGACAAAACCGCCAAAAAGTGAAATGCTCCCCCACGTCATATAGTCGCCGGTCTAAAACCTTGGAATTTTAGCACTTTTCAAAGCCCTCGGGAAGAAAGGCAGTTGAAGGAAACAACTTCATCTTTGGCAGGTAAGTAAGGCATCCCAGTTACAGTACTATTTGGTAAAAATATTGCAAGATTAAAATGCATTTTTTACTCGGTTAAAAATCGCCCGAAGTTTGCCATCTTCAGCACTTTTATAAAAAATGAAAATTTAGGAAACTTTAAAGGAAAAAATTACGGCTTGGTACATGAAATTTTAGAAGAGTCGTTATACCTCAGTAAAGCCCTACTGTTGTAGTACAACTTATGAAAAATCTAGCTTGGGCAATGAAAAAGCAACCCGCCGAGAGAGGTAAACGCGCAGTTCATTTTCGATGTTTTTGCATAAAATGCACGTTGAAATCGTCACGCAACCGGGGGTGACACAAACTCCAAAAAATTGTCTTGAATTCACATTTTTTCGTGGTGATCAGGGAAATAGTTTTTACTTGCAAAATCGAAAGATTGATTGAGTCTTTTATTGCTCTGGTATGACTTGACTAGTTAGAAAGTCAGATAGTGGGCGTCGCAATGAACCAGCTCTGAAAGGTGAAACGGCCGTTTCCATAAATGTCAACAATGCTAAGAAAAGTATGGAGTCTTTTATCAAAATATATATATTTTTGAAATTATATTTACTTGACATAAATTTTTTTATCTGAGTCGTGTGGTGTAATTTATGCAAAGATATTAATTGCTGGAAAGAAAACGGACAGACAAACATTGAATTGAAAATGGTAAATGATTAGCCTGCGAACCGCAGACCAAAGCCGAAAAAACCGGATGCTCTCGAAGGGTAGTAAAGCTCAGTAAATAATATGAGTTTCCTAAACGAGCTGATTGCAAGATTAGGTGCCGTGTCAAAAGCTTGTCAATCTTGGCATCTGCTGGTGAGGTATATCTCCTGATTTCGTAGTTAACTGATTGAAAAAAAAAAGGCAATCAACACCATCAGCGATACAGCTATATCTTTATTGGGAAAGGAGCTACTTTATTAGGAAAGGAGCATTTTATTTGGAGAGGCGGAGGAAGAGTAGAGCAAGTATTTTTTTCGCAACATATATACACGTATGATAGCCTTTTATCACAGCCCACGCTTCATAAGTTTAGATAAATCAGAGTAATCGACTTTGGTGCCCCTAGCAACAGTTGTTGTATTATACTTTAATATATGGAGTTAAAACTCCATGGATTATATTAATTTAAAACTGGTTCCAGAATCATTCAAAATGTGCTCTTAACTTCCCACAAGTTATAATTAGGCGAGCCACTGTTACTTA